GGGGTAAACCTCGTTCAAATATACTTTATTTGTCAGAGTGGAACAGTTGGGGATTGTGGGAAACGTGCACTCATAGCTGTGACGGCGGTATAAAGGTGCGGTGGCGAAGCTGTGGTGACACGAGCAACTGCCCCGATGAAGAGAGAGTTGACTCAGAGCCATGTAATACGCATGCGTGTCCAGGTAACTCAACGCCATCTCTATTTTTCGGGTCAGATATGGATACTATATAATGGAACCCAGTTTCAGTCCTAAATTATACAAACTAAGAATATGTCGGTAATGTGACTTTTTCAACAATTTTAGACCGTTTAGTTATTCATATCTGGAGCGTATCCTGGAAACGGTCCTCCGCTACATATGTGGTTACATTTTTACGAATATCATTTGTTTTCTGTGTGTACAGTTAATGGGGGCTGGTCGGATTGGAGCTCGTGGTCAGACTGTTCAGCAACCTGTGGCGGCGAAGGAAACCAAACACGAAGTCGCAGGTGTAGTAATCCTGCACCAAGTGCAGGCGGTACCGAATGTCTGGGCGATGTTATAGAGAGTATGTCTTGTAATGAAGAACCATGTCCAGGTATTGCTATTTACTAGTATATTCAAAGTATTATCTCTTAAGTATCGTTCAGCCTTTTTTCAAGGTACATCCCGCCACAGTCGTGCTGCTGTGTCACGTTGGACATAGATTCCAAGCGACTCGTGTAATATACACTGTTCTTTTACAACACTTCACAACATCTATTTTGGGTTTTCATTTCATTTGTAGATTTCTCTTAGTTTAAACGCTTTCCAGTCCAATAACTTTGGCTGCAAAATGTTATTGATGAAAAAAATTGCTGTTATATGGTTTCTAAATTCCATTTAAAAGACAATATTTACCAATGTTAAGATTGCACAATGCCAAAAATAAATGCTTTGTCTTTTACAAGAATTCCAACGCGCGCTGCGTAACGACTGTAGCGTTTTAAAAGGCGCTGGTCGTCGCGCCACGCAATTTGTGTTGATAAACATTAATTTTCCCACAATCCAATTCGTTTTTGTTTATGTGGACGTAATGTGCATTAGATAACGACTTTGACTTTTGAAATTTAGCCAATACGTATCAGTCATTCCTGAAATTATGTATTTGAGCCTTACTCATGGATCTGTTTGGAATAATAGCAATTATTAGTAATAGTAACTCTCGAGACGCGTGACACTAGTAATTTAGATGATCCGGGTTCGAGTCAAATAGTTTGTGTCTACTGTCAAATGAAACAAGTCGAAGCTGAGATTCGATATAATACTTTCATGTTCTTTGGGGTATTTTCTATTTCAGTTAATGGCGATTGGTCAGTTTGGTCTGAATGGACACGCTGCAACACGGCTTGTCGCCAGTATCGTTACCGCACGTGTAATAACCCGGTACCTGCGCATGGGGGCGTCCTTTGCTTTGGTAAAGACACAGAAGAGCTCGAATGTCTGATAACTGAATGCCCAGGTGAGGTGCACATCAGTATTTAGATGTAGTATTCGGGGGAGTAGGTGTACAGGAGTATCTGAGCGTTAATATGTTCCCGTATACCGAAGTTTTGTTGTTGAAGTGTTGTCATTACACCGTACCCCTAATTAAAATAAATAAGAATAAATGTTATTATTATACATCTGTCACCGTAACGCCATGAGTTACAGCGTGCCGTAATTTTGCGGTATTTTACGTGGGTATTTTCATCCTACCATATAAGGAAATGCGAATTCGAAATATGAAATGATTACGTGCGTAAAAGTCCTCTAATAATAAAAACAAACTTGGCTGCCACCAGGGTTTGACCGGACTCTACACAAAGTAGTTCGCTGATTCTGTTCTAAACTTTTTAGATTTCGGCATTCCCATGATGTATCCTTGGAAGGAAATATTGTATGTATGATAATAAGGTTATTA